AACAAGTAATTATTAATTTATATAAATTATTTAATTAAACCAGAAAACCAATAAAGTAAATTTAATAACTATAAACAATATAAAACGCGATTTTTAAAATTAAAAAAAATTTTTTTTTTTTTTTAACGGCGAGATTGTTTATATTATGGTTGTTAAGGTAAATATCAACGCTCAGCCGAGAAGCGCGAATTAATTTATTTAATTAACTACATATTATTAATATTATTTTGACAATATTTAAAAACATTATTATTATTATTATTGTTAACGTTATTATTATTATTATCATTGCTGTGGTTCTTCTTGCTTCTTGTGATGATGTTCCATTTGCAAGTGATATTTGCGCTGTGGGTTGTGGCGTTGGTATCTACATTGTTGGCACTGTTGTTGTTGTTATTGTTCATGCTGTTGTTGTTGTGTGTTGTGTAAATATATTATATTAAATATCTTATCCAACAATATTAAATATTAACAATGTTTATAGTTATTAAATTTACTTTATTGGTTTTCTGTTTTAATTAAATAATTTATATAAATTAATAATTACTTGTTCCTTTATATCAAATATCTTACATACCTTATATATAATGCACTGAAGATGAGTTATTTATAACTCGAAATAGCTATTTGCAAATTTATTTAATAAAAATTTAAAAAAAAAACAATAAAATGTCTAATTTCTCGGAAATTAATAAATTAAAAAGAAATATGAAAAAGTTGAACAATGTTGAAAGTAGTGTTGAATTTTTGAAATGTTGCGTTAACAATAGTCTGTTACCAAAATATATATATATATATATAATTGTATAAATATATATATATATTTATATAATTATTTATATTTATATAAATATATATATATTTATATAATTGTATAATATATAATATAATAGCATATAACAGCTATTACTATATAACATCATAATAATATATTTACTTAACACACAGACGTACATACATATATATATATATGTTTATGTATATAAATATGTGTGTTTGTATATCACATACGTATGTGTGTGTATCTATATTTATGTATACATTTGTATATGTGTGTATAGAGATGTATACTTATATGTGAATTCCATTCTGGTATATATTTGTTTAATTGTTTAATAAATATTGTTTAGACATGTTTTTCTTAACAAGACACAGAGTATCATTTATAGACACAAGATACAAAGAGTATCATTTATACACGCAAGATACAATGAGTGTCATTTATATTGATAGTTTTAATAATATTACTAATTTCATTCTGATTTTTCGTGTTTCTTCTACTATATTAATTGTTATTATTGTTTAATTTGAATAGTCTTATAGAGTTAATTTGCAATAATTTCTGTATGGTATAATTTTGTGCAATGATTAAAGAGTCTGTTGGTTGTCGCCTCTGTAAGTGGGTGCTGTAAGTGGGTGATGTTAAGTTTTTTTCAATTGTTACGCGCTATATAATTATTTCTTATAGTTTTGGAACTAGTTAACTTTTAAAAGCCATTTAACTTTTTTTGAATTTAAAATAAAATAAATTCTTAATAAATAAATAAAAGATTAATACTCAAAAGAAATTAATACTTAATAAATAGTTTAGTTTAGATTAGGGGTTGGAGATTTGGAATTAGTGGTTAGAGAGAGTTTTAGAAAAGAGAGAGTAGTACAATAAATAGTTTTGATTGGTTAAATAAATTTTTAAAAACTCTTTTTATTGTTTATTCTGATCAGATATGTGACCACTTACTTGGCTTGGGTATGTTATAACTTTTTTTTTGACTTGTCTGAAGCCAACAACTTCGTTTGATGTAGTTCTGTTTAACAAACATTTGCTAGCTTTTCATAAGTTTCTTTTGCAATTTTCAATCATTATTAAAATATTATTAAAATTAAAAAATAATCAACAATTAAAATTAAATATTATGATATAATTATTAGTTAAGTTATCACTTGCTAACCTCACTCTTTGATATATTATATGACTAAGCTCAAAAACTAATTTTCACCAAAAGATATTGTTTAGTTTAGAATAGATCTAATGTAATTCTAATATATTACAATTATTTAATTATTCATGTCTATCTAGTGCTTATATCTAATCATATATGATTGAATATAGATATTGGAATGATTTTTCAAATGTAATTATTTATATTAAATCCATCTTCCAAATGAATTTGATCAATTTAAATTTTGAATTTCAGATCAGAAATTCGAATTTTGAAACAAAAACATTTTCAAAATAAGGGACACAAGCAGTAAATGAAATGGGAAACTTGCAGAAGCGTGCAGTTCGTGAAAGTAATGTAATCACATCAACCTCAATAGCAGTAGCAGTAATATTTTACCTACAACGGAGTATTTTACCGTGGCTACTGCTAATTACTGCAATGCCACGAGCAGCATCACCCCAGGTTGCAGGTTCGAGTGATGCTAGTACTTGTAATGGTACCTACTACTTTGATTACTCTGATGGGTTTGGAAGAACTTTTGACGGTGTTGGTGCTATTAGTGGGGGAGGGGTAATGTATTTTCTCTTTATTTATTTTGTCTTTTTTTAGTTTGATAGAAAAATATATATTGTCCAGCTATGAGTTAGTTGATCAGTATTTTTCATAATTTTTAATTATTTTATTTATAATTGTATAATTATTATTTAAATTCTAAATAATCAACAATACCCCTTTTGTCATATAATATAAAGGCCACTTCGAAGCTATTGTCTGACTATCCTGAGCCGTACAAAAGTGACATTCTAGATTTTTTATTCAAGGTACATCTGCTGAAATTATCATTCTTTCAACTTATTTAAATCTCATTACCGTTGCATATCGTCTTCTTTGTATAGTTATCACAGGTTGAAATTTTTTTTACGACGTATTAGAATGTTTTTTCTATTATATAATATATTATATTCCTAGTTTTGAAAGTTTTACTAAGTGCAAATCTTAACACGTTTTTAATTCAAACGTGTCGACACTTTTTTCCACAGCCAAAATTCGGAGCCGGTTTTCAAATCTTCAAAGTTGAGATCGGCGGTGATGCCCAGAGTTCAGGTTTGCTAATGACTTACTACTACCTTTTAAACACTTCTTGATTAGGATTTAGGAAGAAAAAAATTATTTGCAACATCTTTAATTAGGACGCCTATTCATTTTCTTTTCGTTACCATTATATATATATCCGAGGCCATCTCATACCATTGCCTTGCACGCTGTAACGGTTTCTGCTCTGCATCTGTCGGATTCTTATTTTTTAAAGAATAATAATAATGAAAAAAGTCCTAATTATTAGAGAAGTTTTTCATTTATTATTTTCAATAAGACATCTTTACATTTTTCCACCAGAGGGCACGGAGTCCTCACACATGCACGAAGAGTTTGACGAGAACTACCAGAGGGGTTACGAGTGGCAGCTGATGGTAGAGGCTAAGAAGGTGGTTACTTACTATCACTTCATTATCATCATCTTCATCATCATCACGTCATCATCACAATTTCCCGCCATCAAATATTAGTCGTATTCTAATAACTATACCATCAATCATTTAAAATTTCGTATATCTTTTAACTTTTTACAATCTCCTATTAATCTCAACAGCGCAACCCTAAAATTCGTTTTTGTGGTCTCTCCTGGGGCTACCCTGGTTGGCTGAGCGGGGGCCAATGGACACCCTATTATGACGTCACTAAAACAGGGATGTACCTAGTTAAATGGGTTTTAGGGGCTAAAAAGTATTACGATATAGACATCTACTGTTTAGGGGTTTGTTGTTTTATTTTGCTAGTGCAATTACATTACATCATCGTCAATGAGAGACAACTATTTTTCAGATCTGGAATGAAAAGCCTTATAATAAGGAGTTAATCAAGGTGATACGTTCATGTACTTTGGTGTTATCTGTGATGTAATTTATATTATTGTAATTAATGTTATCTGACCTCGTCATCAAACTCGAGACAACAAAAAACGCAGACACTAAGAAGATTGTTAGACAAGCACAACATGACGAGTGTTAAGTTGGTCGCCGGGGACCAGCTACCTGGTGGGGCCTGGACAATAGTTGATGACGTCACCAAAGATCCTGAATTATTTCAGGCCGTTGATATAATAGGGTAAAAAAATGTAGTAATAGTAGTATTAGTAATAATAAAGTAGTGATGAAAATATTTATTTTCTGGTGTCAGTTGACACCGCACACATATCATTTTATAGATTTTAATCTCTCTTGCATTCGAACCTGGTTACTACATGACAGCACCAGTTGGTTTTTTTACATCCCCACCGTACCTATCATCAATTTCATCATCGTTACTATCATCATTAGTATTGACAATCATCATCATCATCACAACTATCTTCATCATCACAGCACACATTATATGGGTTCGCAATCGACTAAGCAGTCCTTGACATTAAATAAACCTCTCTGGTCTTCTGAAGACTGGAGCAGCGATCACTATCAGGAGGGCGGTGGTTGTATGGCCAGGGTTAGGGTTATGTATATATATATACATATGTTGTTAATAGGCCATAATTTTTACAATATTCTATAAATTCTACCGAATGTTTGGCGTTAATATGTTCTTAGTTCGTTTTTTCGATTTTTCTCGCTAAAGTTTTATGGGGAACGTTTAGTTTGTTAAAATTCAGAATAAACTCATTTTCTGAATTCATGCTGCATTATATATATACATATATATATATGCAATTAGTGATGAAAATCACAGCATGTTCGGCATTACTTAACTTCCAACTTTTCGATTTTTCTAACGGTTGATCGTAACTCATTTTCAAGTTTCTTTAGTTCATATATATATATATTATATATGCGTGTCTGTGTGTTTTTGTGTTTGTTTGTTTGTGTGTGTGTGTGTGTTGTGTGTGTGTGTGTGTGTGTGTGTAACGTTGTTCTTTATTATGCTACATACATAATTGTAATAAATTCTAAATATAGCTACTGAATAGAAATTACCTGATTGGTCAGTACACGAGGTCAGTCGTATGTGAGTCATCTTGTTAATAATAATAATAATTATTATTATTATTTGTACTTATAGTTATAAGTATGGACATGTGTTGAGAAGGGATGAAAGGGTCGGGATTAGGCAAGCGTTGGAGTTCGAGGTTGAAGGAGTGGTAGGAAGGGGTCGTCCGCGATTGGGATGGAGAGAGCAGGTGGAGAAGGACAGGGTGAAAGCGGGGTTGCGTGATACTGAGGCTAGTGACAGATGTGGATGGCGTGGAGGGGTATTTCGGTTTCATCATAGGTAGCCAAACGGCAACCCCCGATCTCGGGGAAAATGTCGTCTAAACGTGTGTTGTTGTTGTTATAGTAATAATACTTAATGATGATGATAAATATTGATGTTGCGATCGAAGTTTGATAGCCTGGAACATGTTGTGTGGTTTCTACCCTGGCATGAGTTACGATGGAAAGGGCATGATGATGGCGAATGAACCGTGGTCTGGTCACTATGAAGTTGGGGTGCCTATTTGGGCTATGGGTTGGTTTCTTCTCTGGTTGATTGATGGATTGATTGATTGGTTATTGATTTTTTAATTGCTAGACAGAGTAATAAATCAAAAATTCCGAAATTAATAACGGTAATAGATGTTATTGAGATCACGAGAAACATTTAGTAGACTATTTGTAATTATAAATTTTTGACTGTCTTTATTGATTTGAAAATTGAATTTGTTTCTTATATGACTTATCTACAACCACTCAATTTCATTTGGCTTGTTTTTCCGTCTAATCATGTTTTAGCACACTCGACCCAGTTAATTTATTCGTCCAATCATATTTCAGCCCATACAACACAGTTTACAGAGATTGGCTGGCGATATTTGAACGTTGAGCGGGGTGTCGGTTGGTTAAACTTCGGCGGAAGTTACGTCACGCTTGTCAGTCCATCTTTGGACGAGTTCACCATTGTTATTGAGACGATGGTTGTGAGATATTTTATCTTCTGTAACTTTTTCTGTTGTTGTTCATTTTGTTTATTTCATCTTCCATTGAACGAACGAACTATAAATAGATTTTGATTAGTTTCTAACTTGGCTTGCGTTTAAAAATCCAGTATTTTTTGTGATTGATTACTACGTTGAAATCAGCTCTGATCTCGGTTTACTTTTAAAAATATAATTTTTTATAGATATTTTTTTCGTCCTTTTTTATTCAATATAAGGACACCTCGGAAAATAAATTCTGCAACAGACCGCCAGCCTTCCCAATGAAAGTTCTCCAGCAAACTGCTAACCTGGCTCTCAAAGGAGACCTTGTATGTATGTGTGTGTGTTTGTTTGTATATGTGCATGTGTGTGTTTGTGTGTGTTACTGTTTGTATGTTAGTGTGTGTGTGTATGTTTGCATGTTTGTGTGTGCTCCCAAAGAGGTAAATATTTGATTGACATTTTGATTTTCAGGCGCGCAACAGAACGTATCTTCATCTCTGGAGGTCAATATTAACCGAGGATAACAATGACAGTCTTCTGTTTAACTATTTGGGAAAAATAACCGTCAGTATGTTTGTCTGTGTGTGTGTGTATGTGTGTGTGTGTGTGTGTCTGTATGTAAGTGTTCGTACTGTTTGTAGATGTGTGTGTAACACTTGATCAATTCCTAACCAATCACGATGAAGGTGAATGAAGGACGAATCGATCCACTCAACCTGTCCGTCAACAGCATCTACACACTGACAACACTCAGTACAGGGTTCAAGGGCAAGCCCAGATACGTCAGCCCTCAAAGTGGAAAATTCCCGAGTGTCTATAAGGATGATTTTGAAAGTTAGTAGTTAGTTAATTTTTCATTATTTTGGAAATTAATTTATTGGAATAAAATTTTACATATTTTTCTACTTATTTATCCTCTTTGGTTACATAGGCTATCGGGAATACCAAGAAGCAGTTGCCTTTTCTCAGCAGGTGGGCGTTTTTGAAATCAGGTCAACCAATTACAGAAGACATAACAAGGTCATGAGACAGGTCATATTAAATGCGCCCGTTCATTGGTGCCCGTTTGTACAGACCACACCTATGGGCGTCATCGGTGATTCTGATTGGTTGGTTTATATTTAGATGTTAAATACAATTTATAGATGTGTATATTTTTTTCATGAAAGCGGTTTGTTAATTTACATTTGAAATAAATTTGTCAAACATTTAGGACGGACACAGAGGTCAGTGTAGACGTCATGTTTCCGTTCGTGAACAGTTCACACGGAGCTTACGTAGCGGTCAGAGTTGATCATGGTGGGTGCACGACATTCCTTACTACCGGGGTATTTTTCTACCTGTCAATCAAGGAGCAAAGATTAAATCTATATTTGGATATCTGTGAGAAATCGTTGTTGGTTGGATGATGTTGTTTGTATATACTTGTGGCGTTGTTGGTTCTGTTTATATTTCTATTTCTATTCTCATTGCAGCAAGAACTCTTCTTGTTGAAAGTATCTCAGTAAAGTTAGAGGCAAACCAGTGGTATAGAGCTACGTTAAGTGTTCAGGCAAGTTCTTATGGTGATTAATGGCTTAAATTATAACTGATTATAAATAATGTTCGTCTGTAATAGCTATTATCGTAATAATTAGCGGGTCACTTGTTTTATTGTTCAGGGTAAAAGTTACGAGGCCTACATAGATGGCACCCTGGTGATGGAGGGGCACTTCCAGAAGGGTGATGAAAATATTCCAACCAAGGGCTACGTCTCAATCGGCACTCAGAATTTTGGCTTCACAGATTTTGATAATCTTTCAATTTTTAATTTTTGATTATATGATTTTTGTTTGCGTCAGTTTATTTATGCAGATTTGACTCGTGAGTTTGTTTTTCAGTGCCGACGATTATACACTGCCATGTAGAGTCGCGTTTGATTTGTCGGGTGAACTAATTTTCATTTTCAAATTTCAAAGTCATTTTCAATAATCGTCTTACCTAATGAGTGCTCACAAATTTTGCTCAATGACCCTTTCATTTGCGCGGCGTACATTGTGAACCCGAGCTTTCCAGATTTAAACTTAGGTTCACTTTTACTTTTTTTTAGTAACTTTTAAACATTTAATATTCTCTTGAACGCGCCACATTCCAATCTAAACAACAGTTAATAGAATTTAATTAGTGAGAGGTTTGTTGATTGAAATCTAATAAAATTTTGTTGCTATTTCCGTGGAGTTTTGTTTGATGATGGCGGCCATGGAAGTTGATGATGCCACGGATATTAAACTAGGTTGGAATTACACTGGCCTTTTTTTAATTTTTCAATTTAAAATTTGAATTCAAATTGACTAGAACTCATCACATGAAATTATAGGATTTATTTAATTTTAATTTTTTTAAAGAAATTGCTATAATATAGTATAATTATTATACCATCACTTATTTCTGAAAAACGTTTTGTCCATTTTGCTAACTTTAATAATTTTTAAGATTCCCTTCAAGAAGAGTATGGCTTCATCAACTATTATAAGTCCTTACCAGAGGTGCAGTGAGTGAGTGAATGAATAAATGAAACAGTGAATGAATAAAATGATGAATGAATAAGTGAATGAAAAAATTAATGAATGAAGAAATGTGCTTCTAATTTTAATATCATCGTGAAAAGAATTTTCAAGATTTCAAGTTTTAACTTAAATTTAATTTTTAAATAAAATATATTAAAAAGCATTTTATTTTGAACATCAATCAAACTTAAACTACTGGCCAATCCTCTACATACAAATTGGTGAATTTTTTTCAGAAATTGGCTTCAACTGTTCGATTTTTTGACAGAAGTGTTAGTTTTTCATAGTTTCTTTAATTATTTTTAAAAATAAAGTTTCAAAATGTTACACTAACTAAACTGAATTTTCAGACAACATTTTAAAATTTATTTGTTTTATTGTTGTTTGTCATTATACTTCACAAATACATTGTTGTATCATGTATTTGTTTTATTTATCATTTAATTAGTAATTAATTAATTTATCAATTAGATAATTAATTTCCATGAAAATCCATCCATCCCCAAACCAACAAACCCCAAAGGATTACTGGACGGTTCATGGCAGTGATGCATTGTTTGTGGCCAATGAAATCTTCAAGACCATCACAGCTATCAAATATTTATCATCAGGTATTCTGACACACGCAGGCTTCCATAAACACACATAAACATACACACACACATATATACATACACACACATACATTTAATATTTTTCAATTCTCTCTTTCTTTCTCTCTCTCTCTCTCAGGCAACAAGACTTTAGAGTATGTTGTAGTGAAGAGAGGAAATTTCGAATCAGTGATTAGGGACCTGCTACTCGTCAAGCAGTACAGAATTGAGGTTTACAAGTCAAAAAGTTTGAAAACTCAAGAGTGGGTTCTATCTTACAAGGCATATAATTATTTATTTCATCAATTCGTTTATTATTATTATTATTATTAATATTATTATTATTATTTAGGCCTCACCAGGCAATTTGAGTCAATTTGAGGATCTGTTGTTTGGTGGCTCGAGTGACGAGTCAGCCAGATGTGGTCTCATATCAATCAAATCAAGCAAGATTGCCGATCAGAATGTTAGTGTGTGTGTGCGCGTGCGTAATTGTTTGTTTGTGTGTGTGTATATCTGTACTTGTTTTCACGCCTATGTATTTTTATTTTATATGTGTGTTTATCAGTGACTGTTATACAAAAAATGTACACAATTCATTGATTTGATGTTTATTATATGTTTGTGTATCATAGTTATATTAGTTATAATTATATTATTATTAATTATCATATTAATATTATTATTAATTATAATTATATAATTGTTAATTATGATTCTAGGTGGTGGGGATTGCATTTTGCGACGTGGCAGCCTGTAAATTTGTAGTCTGCCAGCTGGTTGATGACGACCGACACGGTAATGTCGAGTCAGTCGTTGTACAGTTGAGGCCAAGGGAGTGTCTTCTGTGTGAAGGCTTTGCTGGTTCTGTTGGCGGGGCAGGTGATGAAAGTTTGCAGGCTGTTCTGCAAAGGAATGGCGTAACTGTTACTGAGAGGAAGAAAAGTGGGATGGATGTTGTATCTTTACTTTTGTTGAGAGTTGGGAGTGTTTGGTTGGTTAGTTGTGTGCTGCTGCTTCTGCTGCTGTGGGTGTTGAAAGAAAATTTTCAAATTTGGTTGTTGTTTAGGTTGTTGTTTCTTCTGTGAGGATGTTGTTGCTAGCCACTTATTTAACGGAATGTAACATGTAAATGTAATTCGTCTCGACCAATACTGAGTTGTTGTGGTGGTATTTTTTTTGTAAGATAAGATAATATTTTAATTTAATTTTTTAAAATTGTAAATTTTCAGGTGATTTTGAGAGTAGTGGCATTGCACTTGACATGAATAGACTTTTAAAGTTCCCTAAATCATCTCAAAACCCAACTTTCGCCACATACTGTTAGTACTCATATGGTCTAGCCATCTACATGTATTTAACAGCGCGTATCTTTCTATCTAGTTGTTCTTTCATTCATTTCATTCATTCGTTCGTTCGTTCATTTACTTATTTATACAATCGTTCGTTCGTTTGTTAATTTATCTATTCATTTATTCATCCTTCCAATCATTCACTCATTCATCCATCTATTAATCCGTCCGTCGCTCCGTCTTATTTCTTTTTCAGCTGAGGCCAACTTGACGGTGGCATTGTCGTCTCTTAGTGCTTCGATAAAATATCTTGATGTGAGGACAGCTATAATTTTTTTGATTTTAATCAAATTTTTATTTATTATAATTTTGTAAAATGGCTGATTGATTAATTGTTTCGCTCATTCATTCAGTTATTCATTCATTCATTCATTCCATTACAGTTACTATCAGACGCAAGTTACTTCAATCAGTTCCACATCTCGACATTTCAGTTTGGAAATTTTGTAAAGTTGGATGGTGCTGCTAGCAGAGCCTTAAATCTCTTACCCTCTCCACAAGATGGTCTGTAATCTCTCTCTCTCTTTCTCTCTCTCTCTCTCTCTTTCACTTATTTTGTTTCTCTCTCTTTCTCATTCAAACATTAAACATACATGCATAGTACACACACATACACACACACAGGCCCAGGTTCTCATAGAAGCATGTTCACTTTGCTGAACAGATGCAGAACTCACGTTGGCCAAAAACTCCTGTCAAGCTGGATCCATCAACCCCTCGTTGATCCCAATCAAATTGGTGTGTGCTTGCGTTTGTGTGCGTGTGTCTGTGTGTATGCCTGTGTGTGTATGTGTGCTAGTCTATTGATTGTTTCCTCTTATGCATTACTTAAAAAATAGTTAAATTCGACACACACACACGCAGCGTATGCAATCAACACACACACACCACTTGAACTCATCACTTCAATACAAGATGAAACGCTTCTTCTATTATTCCATTTCCTTCACTACTATATTTATCTACTTGAGTAGGCAACTTTGCAATGAATGTTTCCAGACGATCGTCTAGACATACTGCAACGTCTGATAGACAATTCAGAGTTGAGAGCCTGTCTACATGATGACCTCCTCAGACGTACTCCAGACTTACAAATGGCTGCCCGAAAACTTCAATCCAAGAAGGCTGGTCTCATGGAATGCTACAAAATATACAAGGTGGTCGAAGTTTTGCCTAAATTTGTTGAAGTTTTAGGAAGATGTGAAGAAGAGGATGAAGATGGTGGAATGGTAAATAAGAGATGTGCTAAGTGGAGAGAGTTATTTGTGGATCCTATGAAGGTGGGTTATTGTTTTTTTTTCTGTGTAATTATTTAGCACTTTCACTTTTTGTTTATTGTTATTTTTTATTTTTTAATTTTCATAAAATAATTGAGAACAATGTCATCTCTACAGGAGTTGATTAGTGACTTCGGCAAATTCAAAGAAATGGTTGAAACGACATTGGACCTCGAGAAAGTTGACGACAACGAGTTCCTTGTCAAATCAGATTTTGATGAATCGCTTCAAAGTTGGTTCTCATCACTTTTTCTGTTTGTCATGTTTTTCAATTATAAAGTTTTAAATATCTTTACAAAGATTACAACTAATGTAATGATTCCTCCTTTCTGATGAAATTTTTTTCTCATTTTTTCTTCTTTTCAAAAAGGTCTGAGTGAGCAAATGCTAGAAGTTGAAGGCAAGATGACAAAAGAATTCAATAAGGTTTCATTTTAATTTGGAACTTTTCTGCCCGCATGGTTTAACTTTCTCTTTGAAATTTAAATTTTTTAAAAAGGCCGCCCGCGATTTAGGTCTTGAGACAAACAAGACGATAAAGCTGGAGGCCACTACGCAGCTGGGATACTTTTTTAGAATCACAAGGAAGGTATGTCCACACACACACACACACACACACACACACACACACACACACACACACACACACACACACACACACGGTACATACACATAAATTATTCTTTTATTTTTTTTCGTTTTTTTTGTCCATTTTAATCAGCACTCATTCATATATTCGTGCATTCATTCATCCATTCACTCATTCATTCACCTATTCATTCATTCATTCATTCATTCATTCATTCATTCATTCATTCATTCATTCATTCATCCATTCATTCATTCATTCATCCATTCATACATTCACTCATTCATTCACCTATTCATTCATTCATTCATCCATTCATTCATCCATTCATTCATTCATCCATTCATTCATTCATTCATTCATTCATCCATTCATACATTCACTCATTCATTCACCTATTCATTCATTCATTCATTCATTCATTCATTCATTCATTCATACATACAGGAAGAGAAGTGTCTGCGCGGCAACGAACGCTCCTACCACACTCTCGACACGAACAAGGGTGGCGTGCGATTTCGAAGCGTGCCTCTTGAAACCCTCAATGATAGATATCTGTCCCTGAAGGAAGAGTTTGTTGAGCAGCAGAAAGGTGTCGTTGTCGAAATTGTCTCTGTTGCTTGTGGATACGGTTAGTCGTTTGTTGTTCGTCTGCTGGTTAGTTGTTTGTGGTTCGTCAGCTGGTTAGTGGTCTGTTGTTGGCTGGCTGGTTGATGTGTTGTTTATTCATTCATTCATTTATTTATTCCATCAATTATTTTATTAGCTTTTTGAATTCCTTCAATTCACCTATTTGCTCACTCATTCAGTCACTCATTCAATTTCTCGCATCCATGCAGTTGAACCACTATCCAGCTTGATAGAATTGATAGCCCAAATAGATGTTTTCGTCTCATTGGCTGTTGCCTCTTTAGATGGCCCCTCCCCCTACGTTAGGCCCAATATAATTAGAGAAGGTTGCGTATCATGTTAATTTATTGGGCTTTTCTGAAATTTTGTTGATTTAGTATAAAATGAAAACATATAATCTCTTATATGCAAACATACGCACTCATACGTACACGCATACAAACATACACACGGACATACATACAAACATACATGGATACAAACATTTAGATTATTTCCTATCGTAAATTATGACTCACATACATACGCATCGTACGCATGACAAGCAGGAGTTAGAAAATTGAAACTTCTTGGAGTTCGACATCCATGCCTTGAAAGACAGGATGGCGTTGCTTTCATTCCTAATGACGTCATCATGTCTTCCGGTTTGTTTGGTTGTTATTGCCGTTATTATTGTTATTATTATTATTGTTATTATTTTTATTGGCAGACGACAAAACCTTTCACATTGTCACTGGGCCAAACATGGGAGGAAAATCAACGTACATCAGATCGGTTGGTCTTGCTGTCAATCAATCAATCAATCAATCAATCAACCAACCAATCAATCAATCAACCAACCAATCAATTAATCAATCAATTAATTTATTCTACGTTATGTTCTCCTTGGTTATTTATTCTTTCTAGTTATTAACCTACGTTCTAAATTTTTTAATTTTTTATACTTTGTTCATTTAATAGTACAACTATGTATAACTTACTACCTATTCACACGCTCACACACAACTGCACAGGCAGCTATGGTTGTTCTAATGGCCCAAATGGGGTGCTTTGTGCCGTGTGACCTTTGTGAAATGACCTTGGTGGATGGGGTTGCGACTCGAGTTGGAGCCGGGGACAACCAATTAAAAGGAGTCTCGACATTCATGGCTGAGATGCTAGAGACTGCAAACATTCTTAAGGTGCTTTTGGCTTTACTGTTTTAGGTGCTACCATTATTATTATGATTATAATTAATATTGTCATTATTATTATTATTATTTATTATTATCATGACTATTATGGTCATCCCAAGCAGTCAGCCACGAAGAATTCTTTAGTCATAGTGGATGAGTTGGGCAGAGGAACATCAACGTACGATGGGTTCGGTCTTGCGTGGTCTATAGCAAAGTTAGAGAAGAGAATATTGAGTAGTGAAAGTAAATTAATAAGAGTGAATTAGGATTTAATGATTGTTTGGTCTAACTTACGCTCGGTGTTTTATTTCTTTTTTTTATAATTTTTTTCATAAATTGACATTAATGAAAATTTCTTTCCTTCAATCTCCAAAGACACATAGCAGCAGAGTTGGAATGCTTCTGCCTGTTCGCTACTCACTTCCACGAACTGACCTCATTGGCAGACGAACTTAGCTGCGTTACTAACTTACACGTCACCGCCGTAACCTCAGAGGATAAATTAACTTTGTTGTACAAAGTTGAAAAGGGTTGGTTTTAGATTCATTTTTATTAATAAATGTACTTTATGTATTCATATCGTATGTATACACATAATATATTGATAAATATTATATTATTTATATAACATTGTATATGTATATCTGTTATTACAAATTAAATTTGCTGATTGAAATGATGGAATGATTTATTGATATGGGTTTAGATGTGAATTATTAATGTATAAATGAAAAACTCGGTGAATGAATGAGCGAATGAACGAGAGTAAATGAATGTAAGAATGGATAAATAAATGCGTGATTTAATTCTTAGGTGTATGTGATCAGAGCTTTGGTATCCATGTCGCAGAGATAGTCCAATTTCCAAAGCATGTGGTTGAGGTATGTTAGTTTTGGCAAGAGGAAAAAAAACTATTCCATGTACATTCCGTTCCATTAGAAATAATATGTTAATGTTTTAACAAAATGGCACACTTAACTTTAATTGAAAATTAGAAATTTCTTAAGGGTCTTGAAAGTTAATCTATAGCAGTTTGGTCAGTGATTGATAAATGTTTAAAAGTCATAATTACGTAAAAAAATGTTTTGCCAAATTAAAATTTAAAAAAAATTCCTAAAATTTTTTCCAAGAATGCCAGAAAGCTGGCCAGTGAGATGGAACAGGCAGCTACGTCGTTCGTTGGATCCAACAAATCCAACGATGGTATGGAGTTGAATGAAAATGGCGATGATGAAGAAAAATTTTTATCTAAGGTTCATTTTCGTCTAAATGTTTTTATTTCGATATAATATAATAAATTTACGTATTAATATGTTAATTAATTAACTAATTAATTTGTTAGCTAATTATAGGCTGTTGTTTATACCTACTGTACTGCGGTCCCTGTACGCTTACAACACATGATTCTCGATTTAATTGGTTTTATTTTTATTATAAAAGTGTGGTTTTAATAGTTTAAATGAAATATTATAAAATAAAAGTAAATTATTGATTTGTGGATAAGAAAAATTAGAAATTCTTTCATTTAAAGGTGACTTTGGAAGAAGCAAAAAATTTTTTATCGAAAGCCAAGGAATTATCAGCGGACTGTACAGATGATGTTACTCTCTGGAATAAAATACAGGACTTGAAAAAATCTATGGTGGAGAACTGCTGTCAGTGAGACAAATTAACTTGGTACTCTGAAGATTTTTGTGTAGTATTTTTTTATCTGAAAAAATTAATGAAGTTACTTGTATCATTTTTAAATTGTTTCATTTTAAAGATGGTTTGAAAATCAAACAAGACTGTATTTAAAATTAGTGATTGCCTAGTTTTTGTAATAAAAATAAAATCCAATGAGACTTAATGTATTATTAAGTGATTTTAAAAGTGATTTTAAAACGACGTTATTTATCCGGGGTTTTCTTTATAAAGTGTTCCACAAGGCTGTACAAGAGAGGCCTTAAAATAGAAAAAATATTATTGATAGTTAAAATAAATAAAGCAAAGCAAGCAAGTGTAAATGCAATTACCTCTAAAAAATTAAATGATTAAGTGTGATTTCGATGTTTAACATTAGAAAATAAAGACTAACACGGACGCTGTGTGATCATTTTCGGTGATATTGAACTCGGACTTGAGGAAATCCCGATTGAAGCCAACATCTGGCTGGCCGCTTTCTAAAGTTAGTACTGAGGCACTCGTGTTGTAATTGTTAAATTTTAAATATTCGAGAATTAGATTATTAATTAGCAAATTTTCGTTAGAAATCTTCGTTTTAGTCGAAGTTCCATTTAAGATTTTGTAAATCTCTGCTCTCATCGAGGCTTTTATCGGCCCCAGGGCACCATTATCTTCCAAACTGCTTTTTACGGCTGCGAAATTAGTGAATTAGTTTTTTAAGTCAATCCAAGTACAATACTTAGTTTTTAAATTGTTGAAGATAAAACCTTCTTCCAGTCCTTTTATGGAAACCATTTTTCTACAGCCGGATTTTGTTTTCTATACGGTTGTCAGGGCAGCACGGATCGTTCAGGTAGTTCACACTTGCAAGTGTCCCATTTAGAGATTAAAATTTTATATTTTGAATTAATAAGATGCAAATGTCATAAACTTAAATGTAATTTTTTAAATACATTTTTATTTTGCTAATTTTTAACGTTCGTAATTATGTTTGCAAAGTGTTTTAAAATGTATTTGTCTAAAAAGTATTTAAAGGTTATGGTTACTTTTCTAATTAAGTTTTCTTTGGTATGTTGTTCTTTTTAGCTGAGAGTTTCCGATCGTAAACATGAAGTTGGTTTTTTTTGTTTCTTTACAAGTTTTAAATCTATTTATTTTGGCGAAAATTTAAACCATCGTTTATTTATTTTTGTAAAATTTGAAAAAAAACATCGGATTGAATTGAATTGATTTTTAAATTTTTTTCAGAATCGAACTTTGCGTGTTTAGTGGGTATAAAATATACCCGGGCCATGGAAAAAGAGTCGTCAAAGTTGACGGCAAGGTTTGTTAGCCGACATTTTTTAAGATTTTACTTTATGTAATTTTGTTTAATTTTGGATTGATGACTAATTCAATTAAAAAAAATAGCTATTCATGTGAAATCATCGCGTAAAATTTACCACTTCATTTTCTTCCAGTCCTACCAATTTTTGAATGGAAAGTGTTCCAAAGCCCATTTAGTGAAGAGGAACCCAAGGAAAGTGCACTGGACTGTACTTTATCGTCGTAAGCACAAGAAAGGTTTGACTGAGGAAGTAACTAAAAAGCGTACACGTAAAACGACAAAATTTCAACGTGCTATCACTGGGGCCAGTTTATCTGATATCATCGCCAAGAGAAATCAGAAACCAGAGGTGAGACAAGCACAAAGAGAACAGGCAATTAGGTGAGTGCAAATATTTTTATTTGTCAATAAGTTCAAATATGAGAATGGTGTAGAACTGTAGATAGACAAAATGGAAGATTCATGAAATGGAAGCTTTTAATATTCTGTCTGTAACATTAGATTAATTGCTTGAACTCAACATCTTTTACCTACCAACAATTGTTTTACAACTTTTTATTACTCAGTACGATGATTTCTTTATTCAATGTTGTATAAAATAAAATATTTGTTATTCATTTCTTAAACTTTAAATTTATTTCACATGTTTTTGTGTCAATATTATATCTTGTAATTGCCCATTTCATCAATTTATGGTTTAAATTGTTTTTTTAGAAATGTTTCATATCTCTTTCAAATAATGTTGATACATATCTCGTCCATGAACAGAGCTGCAAAAGAAAAAGCCAAGGCTAAGGAAGCACAAAAGAAAGCTACCAAGGTGATTGTTATTATATGTTATTTCGATTCATTTGAACTTCCAGACTATCAGTTCAGTTTCATGACATGTTAGTGACAATCACTTTATGTAGTTGCAGTAATATTTATTTTCAATCATGATTTACATCTACAGCCTGCTCAAACAAAAGCTGCACCAAAGCCAAAAGTAGCAAAACAAGTTCCGAAATCACAGCCCAGAGTCGGTGGAAAGCGTTAATTATACTGGATTTGAACTATCGTCATTGGAAATTATTGATTTTTTCAAGTTTTAATTTCTCGATGAATCGCTGACAATAAAATTGTTGGAGACTTGTTTTCATTTCCTAGTCTGGTCGAAGTGGTGCGTGTTCGTAGAATGTCGTCCACCGCATGTGTCGTATGCGTTAGGATGTGCAGGACGGTTCGATCTATTGAGTAATAGTAAGATCTAATAAGAGTAGTATCTGCCCATCCTTGCTTTATGAAAACAAACTAAATGTGAACTTGTAAAAAAAGCGCCTGATTTCGTTTTTGATATCGGCAAAGTTAAAAGTACGGCTTTGGTTTTTAGTGATTAAAATTTACATTAATTTAACTATTTATTTTTTAAAATGGCGGAAAGGCCAGAAGATTTAAATTTGCCGAATGCCGTAATTGCGAAAATAATTAAAGAAGCCGTAAGTGGAGTTTGTGTTTCGTTTCCAGTTGATGTTTGTCTTGTCCTTTGTCATTTTATTTTAAATGTTCCATCCTGGCAAGATAATTAATTATTTTTTTAGTGATTATGATTCAGTAATTAGTAGTTATTAACTAATCAGATAAGCACTTTCTCACAACATTCAGCTGCCGGACAATGTCATCATTTCAAAAGATGCCAGGTTGGCCATATCCAAGGCTGCTAGTGTTTTTGTACTCTACTCAACTTCCTGGTACATCTCCTTTTCACAGTTCATTTATACTAAACTAAATTTTTAAGACAACTTCCAATCAATGAATTTATATAAGTTAATTAAATTAATAATCAAGCTTAGAAAATTTCTAACATTTTTAAAAAAGTGCAAACAACTTTGCAATGCAACAAAAGAGGAAGACGATAAATGCTCAGGACGTGTTTGACGCCATGAAGGAGCTAGATTTTGAATCATTCATCGCACCCCTCAAAGCCAATCTTGAAGGTTCCCTCTTATTATTTATAATCTTTTTGTGACCCAAAGAATTTTGAATGATTCATTTTTTTTCTATAAGATATCTAACAGATCTTCGTAACTAGACAACAATAAATATATGCATATGTGTCTCCAGATACATGAATATGTAATAGAAATAGAGACGTGATATACATTAAAATCATGAAAATATGTTTGTTGCAGTGTATAAAAATAACCAGAAAGATAAAAAAGTGCAGTTAGATAAGAAGAAAAAAGATGTCACAACGACTTCACCGACAAGCAGCAGTTCCAAAGACAGTGAATTTACAATGCACCACGACGAAGTGATGGTTGCTGAAGAGGAAGTAGAAGATGAAGAAGATTATGGTGAACAGGAGATAGTAGAAGACACTGAATCTTAAAGATGCTATTATTAGTAGTAACGAGACAACAAAACACATCCTAGTTTATAAATTTTTTTGTCACTGTTTATTCTCAATGTAATCAGCAATTCATCACTAAAATGTACCAAAGACAGTTAAATGTTTTTACATTATTCCATATATTTAAATTTAAACGAAATAAATGATATTTAATTAAAAAAAAGTTTGTTTCATGATTCTATAATATTAAAATGTAATTAAAATTAAATAAATTTTCTTTAAAATGGCAAATGTAATAAGGATAACTAAGATGGGGGTATAGTAATAAGAATTATGATGAATTTTCGCTCTATTTATTTATTTATTCATTCAAACTAATTGTCGTCATCATCATTTAGAAAGAAAAATGAGAACAATTAATACGTATAAATTCCTAGCATGATGATGCGAGGTGATGGATGACTGGATGAATTAATTAATTATGGCGAAAGAATTACGACGAATAGATGAGTGAATTGTGAATTATAGTAGAAGGAATGAGTGAATGAAGGAATAAATGAATGATTGAATGACATTTCGTTTTTTTAACACTTCAAAACGTAGCGTACTTGAAATACAAATACAGTCCCACTGGTTAGATGTATGGTTATAAGTGTCCGTAATTTACCGAATAATATTAATTATAATAATAATAATCATAATAATTATTATTATTTTAACGGAAATAATAATAAAAACGTTAATAACGAACTTAAAATAGCACGAGATGATTGAGTTTAATGTACGTGTACTAGAATAAATAAACTCCGAATAAAATAATGAAATAATAATATTAATATTAACGAGAAATAATAAAATAATGAGAAGAAAAAACCGCTTCCGACATTAAACTACTACTCTACTCTATTTACATAAGATTTAAGAAGTTTCCGAACGTGATAACAAGAAAAAAATTATCAACCTAAATGTTCAATGCATGATGGAGACAAACAACAACGGAAAAAGACACACGCACACACGCAAACACACAAATACACACACACATACACACACACGGGTACATATCTACATACAACTAAACGTAAAATGAATTTTGTATCATAATAAACTAAGTTTTGATATATATATATATATATATATATATATATATACATATATATATATATCTATATATATATATAGATAGATAGATAGATAGATAGATAGATAGAGAGAGAGAGAGAGAGAGAGAGAGAGCTAGAACAAAAATGAATGAAAGAATGAGAGAATGAGTAAGAATGAAAAAGTGAAAGCGTACGTAAAAACCAGGAAGATTACAAACGTTTTGAAATACATTTGAAACAATTAAACAATTTCAGAGTGAATATTGAAGAAGAAATCGTTGAGAATATTCAGGTAGGTTAGGTATATTTCTATATTACGATGAAAAGAACGATGGATGGATGAATGAATGGACGAATAAATGAATGAAAGAGTAAGTGAATGAACTTGAGAGTGAATGGATTGATTGTAATTTGTAATCGTACAATTTTAACGAACGAATGAATGAATTAAGAAATAACTAAATACATGAAAAGGTGAATGAATGAATGAATGAATGAATGAACGAATGGATGGATAGATGGATGGATAAACTGGAATAAACGAATGAAAAATAATTATTTCAATCTTAAGCCGGAGCAGAAAGCAAAGACTACACCTACAGTGATTATGAGAATTGTCATTCGTTACAGGCCACATAGCATAAAACACCAAAACCACCATCATCTTCACCATCATACTCATCATAGCTGTTATAATAAGCAAAATTATCATCGTAATTATTATTAAAATTAATATTATTATCATCGTAATTATTATTAAACTTATTATTATTATTGTCAGCTGATGTTGTCAACAATTAGTAAGCCAGCGTACAAATCTGTCGTCTTAAGACGGATGTTATAATGAAAATAATCATAATAAGAATAATAGTAACAACAACAACAATAATAATAATAACGCATAAGGTAATTAATTAGGTATCTACATTAATAATATGGATAGAAGAAGATGGCAATGTCCATTGAATGTTGGCTTTGAAGTTTAAATTACAATCAAGTTAATAATAATAATACTAATTATTATTATTACTATAATTATTATTATTGTTGTTTTTATTAGTATTATTAACTTTATTATCAGCAATAATAATTGAGATCAGGACATACGTATATTAGAACAATGTCTTCCATAATTATAAACTTCATCATCGTCATCTTCTTCATCATCATCACCATGATCGTCTTCATCTTCTTCACCACCACCATCATCATCATCATCATCATCGTCATCATCATCAACATGATCGTCTTCATCATTATCATTCTCGTCATCCTCATCGTCTTCATCACCATCACCATCATCTTCATTACATTTATTAACCGGTCATTGTTATTATTATGATCACGATTATATCACTTTTACTATCATTGTCGTTTTATACATACACACACACACACGCGCACACACACAATACATCACACATACACACACACATACACACACACATACATATATATACACTTAAATGCATGTATATATATAATTTGGGGTTATTGAAAATAATAACCAAGTTAACTGATCGAATCAACAAAAAGAAGGAAGAAATGTTTTTTTTTTTTAAATAAATTTTCAAATGAAACCAACAACAACAACAACAACAACAACAACACGAATACATTTCTATATAACTGTTGGTCCAGTGAATCATTTAAGACATATTGTATATATTTACATACACGCACACATACACTCACACACATACACTCACATACATACAGGTTCTAAATCACAGACAGACTACCACAAATAATTGTATTTACCTATATATATATATATATATATATATATATATATATCTATATATATGACAAATTAAAAAGAAACAGGCGAAAACACAAATTGAAATAAATATTTTCAGTGTATTAAGTTAGATATATATATATATGTTTATAAGTCGTTAAATAAACTTAAGTAAGTTGAGTTGCTTATTCATTTGACCGTTCATTCGTTCGTTCATTCGTTCGTTCATTCATTCGTTCATTCATTCGTTCATTCATTCGTTCATTCATTCGTTCATTCATTCATTCATTCATTCATTCATTCATTCATTCATTCATTCATTCATTCATTCATTCATTCATTCATTCATTCATTCATTCATTCATTCATTCACACCTTTGCCCAATAGATCGATCGTTCATTCATTTCGAAATTTCATTTAAATATTAATCTAAATAAAGCTTGATAAGTTAATCGTTCTAACATTATTTTAAAAAAAACCGAACCGTGAACAACAACAACCACAAAAATCATCATCATACTCATCATCATCATCCTACTCAACATCATCATCATCCTACTCATCATCATCATCTTCTTCATCATCATCATTATCATCTTAAACGTCAACAACATCAGGCGATTCACTGCCAGATGAGTAACTCCTTTGTCTTGTAAAAAATAGTGATGTTGTGTTGTTGTTGTTGCAGTTGTTGTTGCAGTTGATGTTGTTGTTGCAGTTGATGTTGCTGTTGTTGTTGCAGTTGATGTTGTTGTTACTGATGTTACTGGAAGTCATACTGTAACCGCTGATGATGTTGAAGTTAATTTTGGGTTTGTCACTATGGGCAGCGTTTAAGTCTTCATAGCGTTGTTGTTGTTGTTGTTGTTGTAGTTGTTGTTGTGAATGTTGTTGTTGCTGTAGTTGTAGTTGTGAATGTTGTTGTTGCTGTTGTTGTTGTTGTTGCTTTTTCACAGAATATTCATTTTCCAACAATTCGAAATTAATAGTTTTTTCAACAGTTGGAGTCTTATCAACCTCGTCAATGTCGTACAAATCTGCTTGATGATGTTTTTGTTGTTGCTGCTGCTGGTATTCTTCGTGTTGAGACGTCACCATATTGTTGTTGTTGCTGTTGTTGAGATTTTTATAAGAAAACTTATTCAACAAATCTGAGAAGTCAGAGAGGTCGCTATGGAGAAGCTTCTCGCCGTCGTTCGAACACGATGACGTCATCCCGACATGATGATTGGTGACGTCATTTTGCCGCGAGTCACTCTGACGATTATGATTATTATAGACATCGCCGTTACCATATTTACTCACTCCACCACCACCACCATCGTCGTCGCCGCTATTGAGACAATGGTCACACAAACCGTTTATAATTGGTTTAGAGTCAATATTGAGCGAGGAATGTTGGAACCTCTTCCCTACCGCGTAAGCCGTGGCGACGCCAGCAGAAGTTGTTGAAGATACGTTCGTTGGTCTGTTACTTGCCATATTTAAACTGTGCCTCTTATGTTCCGGCTTCTCCAGCTGTTCCAGGGATGTGCTGGTCGATGATAATCTGGCCGCCGGAAGTACAACCCCGCTATCTTCACTAATCCTCTCTTCATCTTTCAACTGGTCCAGCGTCACTTTCGTGCACCTCAACAATTTCTGTCTCTCTTTTTCCTCCCTCTCTCGTTCTTGCTCTCTTAACTTGTCGAAGAATGAAACGTTGGTGTTGAAGTTTGTGGTAGCGAGTGGCGGAAGTTTGTGTTTGCTGTGATTTGAAACTGACCTCTTGTTGCTGCTGCTACTGCCGCCGAACACTGCCGAGAGCATGAGTGACGACCGGCGAGTTTTCTGGTTGCCGGAAGATTTGTCACTGAGTGCCATGTTTGATGAATGAAGGCTGGATGTGTCTTGCTGCTGCTGCTGCTGTTGGGTGTCTGTTGCAGTGTTCCCGCTTATTTTTAACTTGCTGTCAAAACCAGAAAAACTTGAAGATGATAATGACTTGTTAGGATCGTTGTCGGTATTGCTGTTGTTGCAGTATTTGTTGTTGGTGTTGCAGTATTTTTTGTTGTTGTTGTGGTGGTTTCTGCTGTCGAGACTCATGTGTTTGACGGATGTAGACAATCTGGATATAGCGCTTGCTATAGAGATGTGCGACAGACGGCGTGGACCTAAGTTACTACCATTGTTGTTGTTGTTGCTGCTACTGCTGCAGCGACCACCTTTACCACTCATTCTAACGCTACCTTTCGCCTTATGACCACCACTCAGTACCTGACCAATTTTCGATAAAACTGACTGAGACGATTTATCATCTTTGGTTCTTTCAATGGCGGCGGTAGACAAACTGGTGATGGAGGACAATGGAAAGATGGCTGTCATGTCAGAAGAAAGTGACGATGTTGACGATTTCCCGTCAGATCCCGACGACAAAGAGGAGTCTGTAGTCCGGTTCTGAATGTTGTTGTGTGGGTGTGTGTTGTTGTTGCTGCTGCTGCTGTTGCAGTTGCGGTTGTTGTGGCTGCGTAGTATACCACTGCAATCATCGTGGTCGTTGGCGTTTGTGCAGCTGGTTAGAGATGTCGATGATGAAGTCGTGGATGTTGTGGTTGCTGTTGGTGCGGCCGATGGTGTCGTTGTGGTGGTTGCTGTTGAGTCGTCTAGACGGGGCTCAGAGAAGGCTAACCTATTTTGAAAGACTTTTGTTTTGTTGTTGTTGAGATTTTTTGCAGTTGCCGTTGTAGCGATAGATTTAGGAGCTTCAACAACTGCACTAATGACGTCATTGTTGTTGTTGTTGACGTTTTTGTTGCTATTTTTGTTAATGTTTTTGTTGCTGTTGTTGTTGTTGTTATACGTTAGAGCCATCATAACTTCTTCAAATAAAGAAGACGAAAGATCTGCATTCTTAATTGAAATGTTTACGATTAATTAATTCGGTTAATTAAAACGTCTATGGTTAATTAAATTATCTGCTCATTCATTCATTCATCCATTCATTCATTCATTAATTCATTCATTCAATTTCATAATTTATTTAGTATATATGACAATGTAACCAGCCGTGTTACAAGATGTTATAAATAGAACTGTTATTCATAATATGTCATATATGTCCTATGTGTATGTGAACGTCTGTATGTAGGTATGTGTGTGTGTGTGTGAGTTTGTATGTATGTATGTGTGTGTGTGGTGTGTGTGTGTTTATTAGTTTTTATGTTTCGTTCGTGCGTTTGTGTACATGCATGTGTGCATTTTTCAAAAGCGACAACAACAACAACTTCAAAGCCACTAACTTGCTGTGACGACGATGGCGTTTCAGCTAATGTGGAGGTCGTTGTCGTCATCATCGTCGTCGTCGACGATGATGACGATGACGTCATCTTACCAATACATTCGTCACCGCCAACCTGATGATGATGATCATCATCATCATCATCGACGTTGTTGTTGTTAGCATTGTTCAAATCCTCATCGGTTAAATTACTACCCCCATCATCATTATCCGTTATATCAAAGGTTGTTTCATCCTCATCATCTTCCTCATCCTCCCCATCATCGTCATCACCATCGGCGATCTGTTTAGCATCATCATCAGCATCGTTGTAATCGTTGTCATCATCATCATAACCGTTCTTATCATCATCATCATCACTTCCAAGCTCGCCCGGCAGGCTGCTAACATCTGTTAGAGTGTCACTGGATTGAAATATAATAATAATAATTATTATTATTTTTATTATAAGTGTTATAATATATTTATATAATTTCATTATTATAATTATATTACCATAATTATTTTTATAACTATCATTGTAATTAATAAATGAATGATATTACATTCAGGAAGAACATTGTGGTGATGCTAGATAAATGGATGTTACAGACAAATTAATTAGATGCAACAACAACGTGTGTGTATCTGTGTGTGTTTGTATGTGTGCCTATGTATATGTGCTTGTGCATATGTGTATGTACGCGTCTGTGTTTATTAACATAATCAATGAACGTATATATGTATGTATGTATGTGTGTATGTATGTGTGTATGTATGTATGTATGTATGTATGTATGTATGTATGTATGTATGTATGTATGTATGCATGTATGTATGTATGTATGTATGTATTTATGTGTGTCTGTGTGTGTTTGTATGTATGTATGGATGTATGTATGTATGCATGTACGTGTCTGTGTGTGTTTGTATGTATGTATGGATGTATGTATGTATGCATGTACGTGAGTGTGTGTGTGTGTGTATGTGTGTATGTGTGTGAAAGAAGCAAACCAACCTAGATACAATGCTGGCAACGTGAGATAGGTCGGCACTAACGACACTATAACTGGAAGGACTGGACTTGACCTTGAAAGCCTCCGCTCGACCTTGAGGAAACTGTGACGACGATGACGACAATGACGATAGTAGAATTCTTAGCGAATGTTTCGGCGGCGTGCCTTCGCTGATGTTTGTGTTGTTGATGTTGTCGTTGATGTTTGTGTTGTTGTTGGGTGATTTTGACGGTTTTGTTGTTATAGACGGGAGGATAGATGCGCTAGTAGTAGTTGCTACTGCAACTGCTGCTGTCCTTAACGTGGCGTCGTCGCCATAGGTGTTATTAATGGCATTGATGTTGATGCTGTTGATGTTTCTGTTGAGTTTACTGATGGGTATTGCTTTGAAGGAAAATCGCTTATCTTCGAAACTTTCATCATCGGCATCATCATTGCCATTAGCACTTCCACCCGGAACTGAAATACCAGCAGCCGCTGCAGTAGCCACAGCAGCATCAACAGCAGCAGTATTGTTGGGATCACTTTCAAAGTGCCTGGTGTGTCTGAGATCATTCAGGGGAAGGCTGATCATGCATGCCGTCAGTTTCGGCTTTTGGTGGCCTGGAAAAGGACGACGACGACGATGATGGTGATCACGACTGTGATTGTGATTTTTCACGGAGGTGATGATCAGTTTTTTTTAATATGGTATATGATATGACGAAAATACAATATTGAAGTGACTATGAGTCAATTTGACGAATGATGAGACAAGGGAATAATGAATGATTAACTCACTTTTCTTGGTTTTTAATAGACTAAAAGATTGTTGTTGTTGTTGTTGTTGCTTATGATTTTGTTGTTGTTGATGATGTTGTTGTTGTTGAGATGTTGGTAAGCAGCAGAGATCTGCAGAGTTTGAAGCTGTTATTGGTGTGGTTGTCTCGTGTGTGGACTTGGACAAGATCTGAATGTCAGTTAATGTAACACAAACTTTAAAAAAAATTCACCGAGAAATTCACCAAAATTATAATAATTACGAATGAATAATTATAAATCAAAAAAAAATTATTCCTAAAGAAACCATCAACTGACATTTTTTAACTTTTCAAGACCCCAAGACGATAGCTGGCCACCCATCTTTTTAATGAACCTTCTCAGTCGCCTAACTTCCGGCCTACTCATACTAATTAGGGAAATGAGTTCCTCATCGGCGGCCATTTTTAATTGAGAGAGGGTAGTGATGTGCAGCTTTGTTGCGAGGTCGTGTTGGTATTGTTGCAGTTCTGCTGCCACCAGAAGGCTGTAGAGTTGTTGTTGTTGCGGTGTTGTTGCGTGTTTGTGTTGATGTTGTTGTTGTTGTTGTTGTGCAGTGCTGTGTGTCTTCATCGTCATTGTGGTTGACATTCTACGCTGTTGTTGTTGATGTTGCTGTCGTTTGATTTGTGAGTAATAGCTGATGGAGATGGCCAATGAATGATGTCTATAGATGTCTTTATATATAGACTGCCTATAGATTAATGTCTATAGACAAATTAATGTAATTGATGTGATAATGATGTTGATGACGATGATGCTGATGATGATGTTTAACTGTCCAACCAGGAACGAGAGTAGAGTGAAAAATGAATGAGTAGACCGAATGAGTGAATGAATGAATCAGCAGAGGAGGGGAAAGCAAAACGAAGAATCTGTAAAAAAAATGAATAATCACAGTTACTATTAATATTATTATATTATAATATAATAATATATTTAATAATTATTACTAATTACGTTTAAATATAGAATGCGAGCTCTTCTTAACCCCAATAAAATTATGAAAAAAGAAAATAACTCAATCAACTCTTAAAAAGTGCGGAAGCTAATTTTTTTACGTATAAAATTTAATACCATATACTAGATAACATCAAATAATAAACCTATGTATAATCCTATTAAAAATTTGAATCAACACAGGGAAAACTACACAAACACACACACACATACATCTACACACAACACACACACACAAATATATATATATACACATACACGCATACACAAATATATATATATACACATACACGCATACACATGTACAAGATGACAAATAAAACAGAAGATAAAACTTCAAATAAAAATCATTATCACCATAATTTTTTAACTGTCAACTCTCATGCTACTATAATTACTACTACTAATACCACTCTCACTACTACTACTACTACTGCTGCTGCTGCTGCAGTACTACTACTACTCTTTTGAAAGCTAAAAATGACACATGTTTAAAAAAAATAAAAAACAGCATCCTGAATATATATATATATATATATATATATATAATATAATATATATATAATATATATATATATTATATATATATATTATATATATATATATATATACGTGTGTGTGTGCGTGCATGTGTGTGTGAAAAGAGAGAGAGTGATAGGCAGAAGTGGAAAGGAATAATTAAAAGACTTATTACGTCATAATCATCATCGTCTTCATCACCATCATCATCGTTATCATTTCGGCAAGTAGACCATTAACATGTTCACACAAAATCAAATATTTGCATAGGATATAGGCAATCATCGTCTATTGAACAGATCAAAAGAAGCACAAACACACACACACACACACAAACTTACACGGACCCACACACACACACGCACACGCGCAAATCTACTTTGATGTTTAAGGTTATACAAGATGTTTATTTGTTTGTTCAATTGTTTGCCTAAGCAATTAACAACAATCATTTAATTTAAAAGCCCCTATATTTAATAAGTCAAAACGTATTTTACACAAAATGGTAGGTGTTACATAAGCACACACACACACACACACACACACACATATATATACAATAATGCGTGTGTGTGCGTGTTTAAAAACAAGCAATACATAAAATTAATATGTCAGTGAATTCGTATTGTAAAAAAGAAAAAAATAAATTTTGAGAGTTTAAAATCTTTAACACATTAATTTATATACACACACACACAAACACATAGGTACAATAGTTGTAGAAGACAAAGTTGGAACTCTGGTGGCTGGGGTAAATTAAGAGGAGGCATGAACTTTGAACATTTCGAAATTCAGTTTGCGTCTTGAATCGGTTCCAAAATCTATAATAAATTTCCCAACAATGTAAATATGAGAGATAAAGTTATATGAGAGATAGAATCTTGTAGCGGTATTTCAAAAAGTTTTAAAATCTCTTCAACATCAGCATTTGTTTGGAGGTTGTTAATGATTTACAGCCGTATTTCATCCACACTAAATCACATGAATACCCGCATGTATACACGCATACACACACACACACGCACACACATATACATACATACACACACACACGCGCGCACACATACAGACAAACACACGCACGCACGCACGCACACGCACACATACACACACACACAGTTACACTGAAGCACTAATATAAACGAATAAAATGAAATGAATTACATTAATCATCATGCCTGTTGCAATTATAAACAAATCATTAATTTAGCCCTGATTTGTTGATACACAATGATGACGGTAATGATGACGATGATGGTGATGATGATGATGTATAAGATGATGATGATGATGACACACACACACACAAACATACACTCATACACACAACACACACAAACAAACACACACATATACGCACATACACAAGCACACATACACACTCACACACACACATACAAGCATGAACGCATCAAAACAAAACGCTCATAAATATATATAAATAACAGAAAACACATCATCATCCTCATCATCATCAGCAGCAGCATCATCAAAGCAAAATGAAGCCACAAACGATGATGATGACAAAAACGTCTTAACTTTGAAATAAAATCTTGAAAAGCGAAAAAGCATTAGAAAAAAAATTTAATGCTTTCAACTAAAAACACACAATATTACATATATGTGTGTGAGATTTATGCGTGTGTGTGTGAGTATGTGATTGTGTGTGTGTGATTGTGTGTGTGTGTTATAAAATAACATAAAAACAGTTATAAATCATTCTATATACATACATACATACATGCAAACGTGTATTAACATACATTACGTCATCATCACTACAACATCAGCACCATCACTGTCATCACAGCATCAACATCATCATCGTCGTCGTCATCATCATCAGTAGCATCAAAGAGCCAAACCAGCCGTACAAAAATATTTGAATTTTCTACTCAAGTGCAAAACTATTCTTCCACCACACTAAGGAAATACACAAACAGCGATAAGAAGAAGAACGGAGCAGTTGCTCGGTGACCTGGTTCGAATGCAAGCCGGGTCAAACTACGCACTTCTAGATAAACGAAATACGTTCTCGTTTATTGCTATTATTATTATTATTATTATTATTATTATTATTATGGTAATTATTATTATTATTATTATTATAAATGATAAAACATCTAGTACAGAATGCGGAGAGCTGGCTTACAATGCGTAATAGACACCAACCACATTCAAATGAAGATTCCAAGAAGCAGTGCTGCAGCAGAAGAAGTGCAAACCGAAATTGAAACAATACAAAAAACAAACAAAGGCATCAGTATTGTTCAATTTATATACTCATGAAACACTCGGAATGAAAGAGAGATAGAGAGAGAGAGAAAAAAAAAGAGAGAGAGAAAAAGAGAGAGAGAGAGAAAAGACAACAATAGAGAAATGCAATACAATAAAAATACTAAGAAAGACCAACTCACACAGCACAACGGCATACAGTACCAAATAGAAATTATGCCTGACGAACTAGATTCAATGATTAGCACTAGAAAAGTTGCATAATAATATAATAATATTTAACATGTGTGTGTGTGTGTGTGTGTGTGTGTGTGTGTGTGTGTGGTGTGTGTTTGTTTTTGTTATACAGACAGATTTGTGTGTGTGTGTACGCCGTTCATGAGATCAATTAGAAAAGGAGGTGTAACTCTTTTGTAGGAAAAGGGAAAAGTAGCATAAGTAGTAAAATTGAAATGATTATGGGAGAAGCTGGGAGAGAAAGTTCACAACATCATCATCAGGCGAACTAACAACATTTAACAACCACAATTTCATGAGACACGCAACACACACACACACACACATACACACACACACACATACACACAGCCTACACATCATGTATATTCACATCTGGACGGGGACATTGGCAATCTCTCTCTGTCTCTCTCTCTCTCTCTCTCTCTCTCTCTCTCTCTCTCATCACGTACGTCTCTCTCTCTCATCACGTACGTACAAGAGTACATTTAACGTAGCAGTCAGCAATCACGGGTTTATCGCATTAAGACGTACCTGTGTGCATGGACGAATAAGCACGGTGATATGTACATTTTAGAGACGAATCGAATATTTGTGGTTTCGGCTTCTGTCCTTTTACAGGCAGAAGTGACAAACATAGAGACTATTTTGGAGGTTCCAGGGCAATAATTCTTGATCCTTATTAAATTGCAGTTGAATTTAAACAAGAAATGGGATATTATTATCTCGGTGAAGAATTGTTTGATAGGTATGAATCTGCTGATTTTTTAACAACTTGTTTTTTTTTACTGAGAAATATATTTTCTTTGGAAATATTGGGGTTTTTGTCATTCGTCCTTACACTTTGGCTCAACTATTCGACTATAGACCAAATTCACTATTTGGTACATGCATGTGTGCGTGCGTGTGTGTGTTCGAGTGTGTGCGTTCAAGTGTGTATTATATTTCCCACTTAGGTGTTAACCAACTGAGAGAGTAAAAGTGAATGTAAACTTTAAATGTCTAACATTACTCTCGGGAAGTTAGAATTACTTTAAAAGTAAAGCACATTCCAAGTGTGGACATACAAACACACATACATACAAACATACACACATACAAACACACGCACATACAAACACACGCACATACAAACACACGCGCATACAAACAAATACGTACAAACATAACATAACTATACACTTGTATATGAGAGAAGATAATCTGAAGAAAATACTACTTAGGTTAGGGAAGGTTGAAAAAAGAACACACACACACACACACACACACACACACAGACACACACGTATATGTTGAAACGTAGATTCGAACCTTGACCTGGAAAAATATTTGTGCATGTAAGTGCACGTGTATGTGTATGCTTGTGTGTGCATATGTATTTATGTATGTATGTGTGTGTGTGTGTGTATTTGTGTCCATGTGCGTTCGTATGTTGCGTGTCTATGTGTAATGAT